TGTTACTAATTGATTGGACAAGTTATAACTAGTTCTAGTGTTTGCTACCATGGCTAGAGAGCAGTGGGGCTTTTCCTGGGAGTGTGGTTATTTTTTATTCCCAGTAGCCAACAAAAATTGAAAAGTGGAACAAGGAATAGAAAAGAAGACTACCAACTAATCTATAAACAGTAATACCTTTTACTTGGGTAGGCACTATGCTAATTACTTTTCAAAAAGTTCTCCAAGTCTAAATAAGAATTTAATATATTACCAATTTCAGATGATAGAAATTAAAAGTTACATACTATATTTAAAGTACTTAGCATAGTATTTATACAAATGAGAAATATTACCAATAACTTTCCAATGAGCTGAGTTCCAAATACTATAATGTCCCTACAGTATCACATTTTTCCACCAGCATGATATACTGACTCTCATTCTAAAATTCACAGGTAATATGATTTCATTTATGCAGGAACTGAGGTAGATAACATGTCAGTAAAGAAAAGTGAATGTATGTGCACAGACTGTACCAAGAAATAAACAAAAGACACTATTTACATTAGTTGCATTTAGGCATGACTTGCAACGGGAGGCTAACTTTTCATTGGATAGTCTTCTGTGATATTTGTTTTTTTCAACCATGTCCCTATATTTCTTTTCTCCAATAAAGTATAGTTAATAAAAAAAAAAAAAAATGGGGGATCTTTTTCCTGAGAAGGGCATGAAGAAACATTCTGGAGTGACGGAAATGTTCTGTATCTTAATCTGAGTGGCAGTTACACAGATAAAAATTCATTAAGCTAAGTCCCCAGGATTTGTGCATTGTACTATAAGTTATATATTGAAGTCTGTTAAATTTTTTCGAAAGAATATTGAATCCATTGGTTAAATAAATAAGTCATTAAAATTAAAATGAAATTTGTGAACATTAGTTCTTTAATGATTTTGAGGGTGGTATGTTTGGTTACTTGTTTTATGATTTTTTATGATTTTATATTTTATGATTATTTTACAATTTTGTAGTAGGCTTAATTTTTAAGAGTTTTTAAACATTTGTCTTGAGTATTAGGCTCCTGATATGCACTATTTCAATATCTGTCAGCTTTTCATAGTACACTATTTTTGTTGTTTTGTTTTGTTAATCCCCACCTGAGGATATTTTTTCCATTGATTTTTTTAGAGAGAGTGGAAGGGAGGGAAAAAGGAGGGGGTGAGAGACAGACAGAGAGAAAGAGAGAGATATCATTTGTTTTGAAATATAAATAAATCCTCTCTGGAAGGAGGAGGGGAAGGCTTCTAGGCTTGTAAACTCCTGGAATGTAAACAAAACCCACAAATGCCTCAGAGAGAGAGATGCCCCTAAATCGCCCCAAAGATCTCTGTCTTTAGGGGTGCTATTAATCACCCCTTCACTCAGGTGTAGCACTGTTTGCGCAGAAAGCCCTGACCGTGTAGACACAGGAACATACTCGTGAACACACAGTGCCTGAGAAGGGAGAATGGCAAAGGGTGAGGTCAGGTAGCCAGACAGGAGACAAACAGTGCAGAGCCTTTGGACCTGATTTTAAAGAATTCAGAATTTATTTGGAGTACAGCGGTAATTGTTTGGATGTCTGTAAGCTGGGGCTTGGCATGATCTAATTTAAGTTTCATTGATCAGTCTTGTGGCCGTGAGAGACATGAATGGGGGGGGGGTGCGAGGAGGGCACGTAGATCGATAAGGGTGCTCGAGCTGTCACTGTGCTCCATATGACCACGTCCTGCGCCAGAGTGGTCACGATGGAGGGCGACAGAGGCGGCCCAGCCGGGACCCGGGTGGGCAGGGGCGAGGGATTCTGATTCTCAGGTGTTTGATGGCCTAGGACTTTTGTCTGAACGCCTGTGATGCCATTTACTCGGAGTAAGGATGAAGGTCGGCAGTTGGGAGGCAGTGAGTCCAAGTCTGCTTTAGCATATTATGTGTGACATGCTGTATCGGACACGTCACCAGCAGGAAACAGATGACACCTGAGGAACACTCCAGTTGAATGTCTATAGAAATGTGAACAGGGTTCAGGGCCCGGACACAGCACTCAAGGGCTGGCCACCGTGGGAAGCCAGTTCTACCCTCGGCCTGGTGGGCCAGGGGAAGGAGAGCATTGCTGGGCACGCGTGAGCTCTGGCTGTGGAATCAGGGAGATGACAGGGCCACTGGCAAAATCACAGCCCACAAAGGGGGGGTTTACCTGCCCCCTCTCTCTTTCTGCTCTCCACACCCTGCTGGTGCTTTCCTCTGGCTGAGTCCAGTCGGAGGACAGAGGCCCAAGCACCCAAGGCGACGGGGTTAGCGGAGAGCAGGGCACGAAGCAGGGCAGGGCCACCTGGGGAATGACTGAGGGACAAACAGGAGGAACTGCACTGATGCCTCTAAGGCTCCTTCCTTCAAGGCCGCAGGTAGATGCTAAGGGCAGAGATGTTGATTTGGAAGTCATCCGCATTTCCGATGGTTTATGTCTCAAGTTGGAAGCTAATATTTGTCAAGCTCGTATTTTGTCTAAGCACTCTGCCAACATCTCACGTGCATTATCTCATTTAACTTTCAAAACAAAACCATGGATTAAATCTCACCCCATTGCGCACGGGTAATGGTATCTTTGAGTTGGTTTTGAGAATTAAACAAGGTAACTGAAGCACAGTGGAGTGAAGCACATTTGTTTAAGATTACGTGCCTATTAGGAAGCAGTTCTAAGAATTAAGTCCCAGACATTTCTATCTCCAGGGCCAGGGATAGGAACCCTTATACCATTATTGCACAGGGGTTCCCTCGCAGAATCAAGTGCTGGAGCAATGACATGTTAGGCCACATGACTTCTTTTTATATGACTCTTCCCTCTTTTTCATTTTTTTTCACTCCTTTGAAATAAAACAATTCTGACAAGATTTCATCAAAGAAGTTATTCCAAGTTTTAGTGTCCCGGTCTGGGCATTGCTTTTGATTAAGGCTGTTTGCAGACTAGCATATTAGTAACCCACATATTCCCCATACCACTGAAAGAGCAGATTCACTTTTATCTTGGGAACAAAGCTGGAGAGAAAAAGCTTTTTTAACTTTTCTTAATTCATGAAACATTTATCTTCCAGTCAGGTTTTGTTACAGCAGCACAAATGTGGCCCGTCAGCGTTTCCATTATTTCCCCATATTTCCAGGGCTTTTCAAGAGCGCCTTAGAGATTCTACTTTGAATTAAAACTTGGCATTCAGGATTTGCGTCAGAAAACTCCATTTTCCTTACTAATTAATCAAATAGTTTAGGGGCTCGCGATTTAGAAGAGCAGCAGATGTAAAACTTTTATTAATGTAAAAACTATTTTAAGCAAATTTGCTACTTTAAATATTTAAAAAATATTAACACTCACTCTACAAGCATAATGTTTTATGACTGTATGATACTAGTTCTCAAACAAAATGAACGATAAAAGTCCCTAAGATGATAATATATGAAAGCTAATTATAACATTTTATACTTCACCTTTTTGGCTTTGTAAGTACTTATTTCCACTTTAGGAATTTAGATGAATTGAAGTTCTCAGCATAATTGATGTTATAACAGTATCAAGATACTGAACCAGGGTGGCACAGGCAGGGGGATCCTGTGAGAGTGCCAAGGTGTTTCAACATATTTTTATGAAATTTAGATTCATGTGGGTAAATTTTGCGGTCTGTGAAAACGGATTAATAGCATGCCTCAATTCTGTAAATAAATATTTGAAAGTTAATTTGCTGGATGCAATGGTGAGGGCTGATTAGAGCCTAGCAGTAAAGCCTTTCTAACTTTGCCTAACTCCAAAATAGCGCATGGATGTCGGATGACAGCGAAGGGCGTGCTGGTGACCCTCTGTGTCTAGTGTCTCTCTTCTGTAGTCTTTTCTGTAGCCGGTCTTCCAGCCTTAGACTGAGGAAGACTAAGGAAGCACAAGGCAGTGAGTGAGAGCTCTGCCCTTTGCCCCTCAATCCCCAAACTCATGATACCCCTTACCCTGCCTGACTTGCCTTATTTTCACAATACCTAGTATCTTCTAACGTACTGTGTACCTATTTACCCCCTAGAATGAAAGGTCAATGGGGACAAGGGTCTTTGTTTTATTCTTGACATGTCCTAAGCACCTAGAATTGTGCCTGACGTGTGTTAATTGCTCAACAACAAAACTTGTTGAATGAATATATTGTTGAATTAAATCTGAATTTCAGACCATAGCAAGAATCTACCAACAATATTCCAGATATATCTTTCTCTGGTTCTTCTACAGAACTTGTATTATTTCCCTCAGCTAGTTAAGAGTGCCCTTTGAACATCGGTGGAAAAATGAAAGTCCCCCTCCCCCATCAAAATCTTCTTTGTAATGTGATATGGGCCATTTTTCCTGGAATTGTTTAAACTAAAACATGGAAATGTTTGTAGTTAATTTTAGCTTTGTTTAGAAATGATGATCTGAATGGCTGGAAGTGAAGTATGGTTTTCACAAAGCAAATGTGTATCTTGTGTTAAAAATACTACTATACAAGTTTTATAACATTTTTATACTTGTAATGATTTTAATGCCAAAATTTGAAAATTCAGAAATTAAAAAATGATCTTATAGCTAAAAACAAAAAAGAAGAAAGGACCCCAAGAACCCCACACCTCCAGCAGTGGTAGAAACCATGGGCTTCACTACTTGACCCCATGGCGTCAAAACTACTAATTGTAAAATGGAGTCATTTGGTGAGAGTTCACCACCAGTTCAATGGTGTAAAAGCAAGGACACTAGAATGTCAGTGTGGATACCAACCCTGGTGGCACACTCATTAGCACGGCCCTGTTTGGTTCTGAATGGAGCTGATAGCAAAAGCTAATATTTTCTATCATGACAGTGTATTAATTTTATTATTGGACTAAAACATTGCTTGAAAACAAATAAAATTAATTACCCTTCAATTTCCTTACAAATGTTGAATGGGATTTAGTTGACTTTATTTCTGCTTTGTCTTCCTAGGGAAAATGTGAGCAGTCGCTTTATGGTCACATGCATTCTATCAATGATGCCACCTTTACTCCTAGGGTGAGTTGAGTTCTCCCAATTTTTTTAACTCTTTATATATACAAATTCATTTTAATAAAAGAAAATCCCAGAGGGAAGTGGAGGTTAAAAGGGTGAGTAAGAGAACAAATTTGGGAATAAATTATGACAATGGAAAAGACATAGAGATAGAATAGGGTTGCAGAAGTGTCAAACACAGACACATAGAGTACACAGTGGTAGAAACGATGAGGAACTCGCCTATTGAACTTAAGGCCACGGAAGCACATTTTTGAAAGCTTCTTGCCCAATCTGGACTTCAAGAAAGTAAGTGTGATATAAACTTGTAAATATTAATGCAGAATCAAAAAAATAACAAAAATGATTGAAAGGAAACCCAAGAATAAACACCATTAAAGAAACAGGGACTTTTTCGATTAGAACACAGCAGCCTTTAATGGACAGCTTTGCAATTCCTCATGGAACGATTTTACATATTTCTTCATATGAACCGAGGACACACCAACAGTGTTTTTCTGCAGCTTGAGATTTTTAGATATCAGGATAATTTCTCCAACGATGAAAATTGTTAGCACATTGCTTTGTGTTGCTGAGCTAATTGGAGTTATCCTTAAAAGGGTTCAGATAGTAATCATGGAAGAGTGATTTAAGTTTGCTCCTTCTCAGATGAAAGCGATTTGACAAGATAGATGACCTCTCAAGTCCTTTCAAACTCTATGATTTAATTATATCTAACATTTTAATTTGTCTCTAAGTTCACAGTGAAGTGTGAATCTTTTTTTTTTTAAATATATTTTTATTGATTTCAGACAGAGGAAGGGAGAGGGAGAGAGAGAGATAGAAACATCAGTGATGAGAGAGAGTCATTAATGAGCTGCCTCCCTTATGGCCCCTGCTGGGGATGGAGCCCACAGCCCGGGCATGTGCCCCGACCTGGCATCAAGCTGCGATCTCCTGAATGCTAGGTCGATGCTCAACTGCTTTGCCATGCCAGCTGGGCCAGAGTGTGAATCTTAATTCCATATCCCTCTTCCAATTAGCTAAAAAAAGACATCTGATAGATTCTCTACATCTAATTTCAAAATGACACACAGTAAAATTCAGTCACTATTGTGCTGTTAGTCTTTTAGAAAGAGGAAAACTGCAAACTAAAAGTTGTTTCTACTAAAGGAAGGTTGTTTGCTCCACCTGCAATTATGCCAGTGTCACTATCAACCCTGGAATGTTAATGAGCAGCTCAACTACAATTACATTCTAACAAAGGCATCTTAGTGAGGAATTCCTATTTGATTGACTCTATTGAGCCAATATATTATGGATTAGTTCTAGATACCAAGCAAAATTTTATGTCTGGCATATTATAAAGCCATTTAAGCACTATGGACCCATATAATTTGGATATTTATGCCAAAAATCTATTAAGTGGCTTACAACTTTATGTACCCTAGGAAAATTAAATGGAAGCTAAAATGAAGTAAACTAATATTTTGTAAGTTAGGCATTTTAGTTTGGTAAGCAGTATCATAGCTGAAAAAGACACACCATTTACCATTTTAAATAGTAAAATGTAATAAATATGGAAATAGCCAAGTGAGATTTATTGAATCAGCAATCAAGGGAGACATACATTAATTATACATATTTCAAAGGCAAAAGGAGCAGTCTGAGGTTCACTCTCCAGCATCAAGGCGCCTAACCTGGTTTTGTTACAACTTGTTCAGACCAAAATGACTGCTACAGCGCAGTTCCAAGTCAACATACCAGGGCCTCAGTGAACTTCGCCATCAATTTCTCTCTTCTTTGCTGTAAATATTTAATAACTATTCAGGAAATAATATTTCATTATGATAACTGATACTCCTAAGTGAAATTTACACTCACTAGGTCAATTGATTTGAAAACTGTTTTATTTCACATATCTGCTGAGGAATTGTCAAGAGATTAGGAGGCAGCAGTGACTGAAAGAGCAAAAAGACTTCTAGGGATTTCTTGAGGATGTGGCATTGTGACACATTTCACATTCAAGCAAACTATCAGACAAAGTTGTGATAATACATAGCTTATAAGGTACATATATATCAGGCAGCAATCTGAATTACTTAGTATTAGACTTACTAATTGTTTGATGCCTTTAGGATGTGCAATTATATCAGTTAAAAATGCATTCAGCTATTTATGTAGACATAACTTTAGGAAAATTCTACAATTTTAGATTTGTAAGTAGAAATCACAAATGTAAAATTCAGTGTTATCTAGCTAGCAACCAAGAATCACAGAAACAAATATACAATATACAATATTTATGTATGGTCCTAAAAGCTATGTAAGTTTAATTTTTATGTTATATAGTATTAGGGCTCTGATGTCTTTATTTCTTACTGATATTTCTAATGGAAGTAGATATTTATTTAAAACCTCTTTTTGTAGTAATATGTTAATGAAACATTTTAAGGAACTATGAAAGCTTTTTACTAAAAAGCTTTTTTGTAAACTAAATTGAAGAATAAAAAGAGAGTTGACATTAAATGCTGGAAAAATATTAATAGATATGGACAATTCAATGAATTAAAAGAGAAACAAAACTGTGTAAAAATACATAGCAAGCAAATGAGCAGATACCTATCAGAGAGAGTCTCCATGTCTTCAGTTTTCCAAGAAGCTGACTGATAGTCTGACCAGGGTGGAGATTCCATCAGACCTTCTAGTAGCTCTTGCTGGTCCTCTCCTAGAGGGCTTGTGTGGTGAGGCGGGTGTCCTTAGCTCTCCGGGGACATTCACAACTGTCCTAAGTGTCACATAGTCAGAATGGCTACACTCTGCCTGCCTGGTGAAGTCAGGTACAAACTTTAAATCAACTCTATTAAAATACCATTTCATCTTTTGAGAGTATTTGCCTCCATCTCACACATTTAAGCTAGAAATTTAGTCTCAACTCATTGATTGTTGAACAAAATTAGAAGACTGTGTAAGATTGATGATATTCTAGAAGCTCTAAGGTTCTGACCAACTTGTGAAAAAGGGTGTTTCAGACCTACCTCAAGTCCTGTTCTCACTTCCGATTGACCTGTTGTATTCAAATAGTGTTTTATTGATTTTTTAAATGTAGATGTATGTACACTTATTGCAACTAGTTATATAAAATATGGATATTCTGATTCCAAAATGGATCACAAATCTATATTCTGTGGCCTGTGCCAGAACAGATTAAAAAATGCTAGCGGAAACTATACAATCAAACTTTTTAATTTAATTAACTTTAAATTTGTGACTCTGAAATACAAATGGCCAGTCACTATTGCCCACCATTTAAACTATATTTCTCTAGTGTGTTTACTTTTCCGTTCATTTAGATTACTTTTATACCTTCTTCTTAAATATGCTCACATTCTAGCTTCCCTTTCATCCACAAACTCTCCTCTTACATCCTCAACTTATTCTTTAATGAGAAAACAGAAGTAATCAGGGAAGAAGTCTCACATCTTCCTACTCTACATCTAAACACACAGGCACCTCCAGCAGCTTCTGTGCGACGCTCCAGTCGCCATGGGAGGAGCGTGTCGGCTCCTAAGGGACTTTGATATCCCAGGTTGTCCTCTAAACCGCGTGTTCTTTCACTCTCTTCATTACATTTTCAGTTATTTCTTGTTCTTTCCTTTCTATGGGATTATTTTTATCTGTATTTAAACAGATAAAATGCTCCAAAATTTTCTGTATTTAAAAAGTTTGACATTCCATCTCTCAGTCACTTGCTATCTCACTTTTCTTCATTTCATATACTCTTGATTTTTTCTGTCAATTTGGACTTATTTAAAATTGCTTTTGGCTCCCAATCTGTGAAATATATATGAGAACGTTGAGGCTCTCTTCAAGTTGCTGGTTTAATATTAGATTACGTACTTGTCAGTAAAATTATCTTTATGATGTCAGCTTTAGAGAGTTAGTAGGACTTGTTTGCTGCTTTGTACATAATCATTTTTTTTAAATGTCCTGTATAGGCTTAGAAAGAATGTATGTTCTTTTTGGGGGCATCTAGTTTTTTACTAAGATAAAGATTGCTATAACTTATTATTGTGAAAAATCATATGAAACCTGATGTTTTGTTTAATCTTTCACATTATGAGAGGGGGATGTTAAAATCTTCCAGCAGTATTATGGATTTTCAATTTTCAATAAAAAAAAACACATTATTTTAGATTTTCACATTTTCTATTTTCAGGTGCCATTTTATATACGTTGAGACTAAATTGTTAGAGCATATAAGCTTATGACTCATATCTTCCTTTCGAATGCTTCCTTTTAGATGTATGTAATTGCCCTCTTTGACACAATTAAAACATTTTGCCTTAAATTATTTACTTTGATTGTATTTATATGGTGTATCTTTTATCATCACTCAATTTCCTTTCTTTTCATAGGTTCATTGGAGTTATTTCTCTTGTAAGCAGTACATACTGTATTAGTTCATGTTTTCAATAAAATCTAAGTCATATAATAGCTGATTTTAACTCATTTACATTTCTTGTGATTACTAATATATTTAAACTCACTTTTACAGTCTTATTTTGTATTCTATTGATTATGAGATTTCCTTGATTTTTCCTTCTTGTGCATGTCTATTTTTAATAATTATCTCATCATAAATTCATTTCTCTAAGATAGGTATAGTTAAACCATATTTCTATTCTTCCCAGAACAGCACAAACAACTTAAAACACTAAAACTCTTTTCTAGACTTTTCTTTTCCATATTCCATGTTATTTTTATTTTGCACTTTGGTCCCACCTTGAAATTAGTCATGCAAACAGTTAATACAGTGGTACCTTGGTTTTCGAACGTCTCCGTTGATGAACATTTCTGTTTACGAACACCCTAAACCAGGAATTCAATGCTTCAGTTTTCGAACACACCTCGGAAGTCGAACATTCTACACGGCCCCCACTGAGGGCAGGACCCTGAGGCCCAGCTGTGGGCTGTGGATCCCTCGGTTTTAGAACGTTTCAGACCTCGAATGGTCTCTGGAA